AAATGGAGTTAAAGTCCTCCATGACCACGGGAGGGAACATGGTGCCCGCCTCCTCAGTGCCGATATCTGCGACCCGATGATCGCAAACGTCCAGCTCTGGGACGACCTGCTTCTGCAGTTTGGCCTTGCTCGTGGACATCTCATACAGTGCTTGGCTTAGAGAACTTCTCACGACAGGGAAAGTTGAAATTCGAACTGAGATACTAGCGCTTTCTTGAGAGCTCTCTTGTCTATCCCACGGCCAATGGTAAGGGCAGTTTGCATGGCGAGAGCTGCATCTCCGAATCGCCCATGTGCCTGGAGGGCCTGCGAAAAAGCAACCTGCCCGAAGGCCCAGGCAGGCAAAAGGTGCACGGCTTTCTGGGCATCCAGCAATGCCATGTTGGCGTCGGTTTGAATGAGTTCCTGAGATCGCATCACCAACAGCTGCGCCAGGAGCCTCGGTTCTTGAAGAGCGGCGCTTCTCTCCGGGCCAAGCAGGGACAAGGCTTTGTTGATGTTGTCCATGCGATCTGCTGCTTCCTCAGGCCTTCGAGCGGCAAACTTCAGCTTCGAGACTTTTCGCTGCAGCTCATTCATCTCGAAACCAGGGATGATGTCTGCCAGCATCGCTTCGACACGGCTGAACTTCTTAAGGCCCTTGAAAACCTTGTGCTCCGTGTTTTCTCTGCAGTTGGGGCCCTTGGAACACTTTTTCAAGCAGCCGCTCGCAGTCACGAAAGTTTCCGTGCATTCCTCGATGTCACGGAAAAGCATCGCTCCTCCACCTCTCCGAGTGCATTTGCCTCCATGGCACACTTCCACAATCGCCATGGCGAAGCTTCAAAGGCGGCGGTGCGCAGGACCGAGGCCCAGGTGTGCCCTAATCACTGCATTCGCCATTACCACCCGATTGACGATGGCTCCGTTCGTGGGGCCCGGTTAAAGCCAACCACCCACCATCAACTGGTCACTCTAGCGACTCTAGCGCAAGAATACAATACACTGGTAAGATGTCAATATCGAACTTCTGTTCTTAAAGTCTCCTCACCCCTCGCCAAGCGTGCAGTGCATGCCCGATCCTGTTTAGGCCGGTTTAGCACCACATCGCTGTAACCCTTTACTCCCCCCACAAGGCGCTTTTGACCAGGCCCAATGGTTCCTCTGAAACCACTTCGGAACAGGACGAAATTCTCACACAATCTATAAAAGAGCATCTCCCTCTTATCCATTTCCTTCTGGCAAAAAAAAACCTTGGATCTCCTCTTTTGCCATCAAACTCATACATGAATTTCAGAATACCACCTTCCAGGACATATCCACCCTTAAGTGTGCCCGGCAGTCAATCAAAAAAGATGTCCGCAAAGACAAAAAAGACGTCGTGGCACAAAACCTCGTATCTGATTGATGTTCAGGGATGCTCGGCAAAACAACGAACCCACCACTGTCAAATTCGTTCTGATTTTTAACCCCGCTCGACGGGGCTCCACAATCTCGACAAAAAAAGTTTCCTCCTTGCAAAGGGCAAAACATTTTGCGGATTACTTATCCAAACAGATTGGTACTCCCAGCCACATTCTCCCATCCTGTTAGGCAGCCACAATCTGAGATCACGCAGTTTGAATCTCCCTTTACTATGCAGGACTTAGACAGTGATCTCGGTAAGCTAAAAAACTGCAAATCTCCAGGACCTAATGACATCCCCGATGAAATCTACAAACACGCCCTTTTTGTTTCAACACTTTACCTCCTTGATCACGAAATCAATGCTATTGTATCCTACAAACTGTTTGCATCTATGCTCCAGATCCGCCTTGAAACCCACTTTGATCAACGCATTCGTGCCGGCTTCAGAAATTTTGAAAGGCCAAACACTTCCTTTCACGCTCTCTTTTTGGTTTGGTCTCCCAGGTACCAGAAAAAACATTATGTTTCTCTGGCCTCCTTGCAGTGTCTATTCCCAAAAGATATATGGGTTCAGATAGGCTTGCACTGCT